GTGTCTTATGCCAAAGTTGCCAGCCCCTCTAGATCTCCTTTCCCTCCAACTTTTGCATGGCCACAGGACTCCAACAGAAAGGGAATAGGACTTTTTTTTTTTTTTTTTTTTTTTTTTTTTTTTTTTTACTTTTTCTCCCTGTAGCCCCAGCTGTCCTGGAACTCACTATGTAGACCAGGCTGGCCTTGAACTCACAGAGATCCACCTGCCTCTGCCTCCTAAGTGGTGGGATTAAAGGCGTGTACCACTATGCCCAGCTGGGAATAGGACTTTTTAAAAAAAATATTTTACTATTTTTATTTTATGCATATGAGTGTTATGTCTGCATGTAGGTAAGTGCACCCATGTTGTGCAATGCCCGCGGAGAACAGAAGAGGCTGTCAGATTCCCTGGAACTGCAGTTAAGGACAGTTGTTAGCTCCTAATGCCCAGCTGGGTGCTGGAATTCAAACCCAGGTCTTCTACAAGAATAGTCAGTGTTCTTAACGGTTGAGCCATCTCTCCAGCCCCAAGAATAGGACTTTTAAAAAATGAAGTAAGCAGGACATGGTGGCACAGGCCTTTAATCCCAGCACTCAGGAGGCAGAGGCAGGTGGATCTCTGTGAGCTCAAGGCCAGCCTGGTCTACATAGGGAGTTCCAGGCCAGTGAGCAGGGTATGACACACACCTTTAATCCCTTAATCCTAGCCCTCAGAAGGCAGAGCAGGTGAATCTCTGAGAGAGATCCAGGTAGGCTGGGACTATGGACACCCTATCAAAACAACAAGAATAGGGCCTGGCAAGATGACTCAGTGGTTAAAGGGGTTTGCCACCAACCCTAAAGACCTAAATTTGATCCCTGGGGACCCACATGGTGGCAGAAAAGAAAGGATTCTTCCAAGTTGTCCTCTGACCTTCGCATGTATGCCATGGCAAGGGAAAATCCCCTCCAATAAATAAGTGAAAATGAAAGTAATAAAATAACAGTATGGCGGCTCATGCCTGTCATTCCAGCTGAGGCAGGAGGATTACCATGAGTGTAAGGGCAGCCTGGGCTACATAGTGAGTACCAGGCCAGCCAGAGCTACACAGCAAGCCCTTATCCCAAAAAGTGTAACAAGAAACGAGGTGATGGCAGTCTTGCTCCTGAGCTCTTGTCACCCTTTGCCCAAAGAATACTTCCGAACAGCTTTTTTTCTTCATATTTTAACTTTATTTCAAATGAGGTTTTGTACCCAGAAGGGAGGACAGCAGCATGAGGACGTTGAAGTGAGGCACAATACTAGTGGGCCTAGGGCCAAGGCCAAAGCGCGGGGCTGCACTGTGAAGGGCTTGGAAAGATTCTGGGAGGGCTTTGGGGCTTCATACAGCCAATTCATTTTGTCCCCATATTAGCTATTCAGTGGCGTTAACAGTCTTTAGTTATTTTATAAAGATCAATCCTCTTTTACAGAATCACCAAAAGAAGTTCCAAGGCTGGCAAAGAGGAAAAACTATCAATCCCTGGGGAAGGAAGGGAACTACTAGGGAAAAAGGAAAGAGGGAGGGTAAGAGGAAGTAATCTTATGTTATTCATTGCCCTTGTCATGACAGTCAGGGTGAGTGTATACCCCGTTTCTTAATATGGTAATGAGATGTGGTCAGGAGGCCTAGGTTTAAAAGCATCCAATCTGAGTTACACTGATAAATGATGGCACTGGTGGAGTCGCTCATTTCTGGACTTGTGTCCTCTGTGAAGGAACCTGGACCCAGTGATAAGCCTTTCAAGTTTCTGATTGTGTGTGAAGGAAGATCCAGAGGAGCTCCCAACAACCAAGCTAGAAGCCAGAGTGTGGCTGTTAGATTGGAGGTTGAAGACTTAGGGCTTATGATGACAAACAGTGGACAGCATTCATAGAGAAAGACACTTGGATGGTGACATATGCCAGTAATCATAGCCCTCGGGAGACTGAGGCAGGAACATCTCAAGTTTGAGGGTAGGCTGGCCTACACAGCAGGATCATACTCAAAAATCAAAACACCAGGGGCTGGAGAGACGGTTCAGTGGTTAAGAGCACTTGCTGTTCTTTCAGAGGTCCCTGGTTCGAGTCTCAGCACCCAACCATGGCAGGTCAGAACCTTAACTCTAATTCCATTTTGTGCCCTCTTTTGGCCTTTGTGGGCATTGCACACATGTGGTTTATTTACATGCAGGCAATGCACTCTGTGTTTAGTTCTTTGTTTTCAGACAGGGTCTGTCTGGCCTGGAACCCACTGTGTAGACAAGGCTGGTCTTGATCTCACAGAGATCCACCTACCTCTGCCTCCAGAGTGCTGGGACTAAAGACAGGCCCGGCTTAAAAATAAATCTTTTTTTAAAAATCACACCACCAGAGAGAGGAGAAAAGAACAGGGAGCTATGGAACAGGTAGGTCTAGGATGCTTTCTAAGGTTGGGAGGAAGGGAAGGGGTGCGTTTCTGTTGAAATCTCTCAAGGAAAATGCCCCCGACAACAGTTTTCTCACAGCTCCTCTCACGCCATGGAAGCCACGTTATAGCCCAAACTGGCATCAGCCATCAGCCTTTAGTCTCTACCACAGTGTCTAATGCATGATACATAGATACACAGGACTCAAAGATCTGGGCAAACTCCTAGAATTTCCCACGCCAGGCCGGACCGAAGCAGCTGGGGGAAGCTGATAATTGCAGCTCTGCCTCTCTACTTCGCTTACTGGCACTGCCAAGAAACACAGATGAGTCTTGGAAAGGAAATGCAAGGAAGGAAGGGGTACTGTATTGGATTTGCTGGTGGCATGGTTTATGATACTGCTACAGCAGCTCAGTCCAAGGCAGGGAAAAGCCAGGGACAGGGAGCCTGCAGCTTGTGCTGGGAGGATGTGGACAAAGTGTCTTCTGGGAATCTCGAAAGGCCTAGGCACACAAAAGCCACTCAAGACAGTATATGCTAGCCCCCTGCCCCCATTTTACAAGGTTTATGGTACTGATAGCTTCGTTAAGTCCAGGATTCTAAGAATGAGGCATTTACTATATGTGTGTGCAAAGAGGTAGTTCAGCCCAGGCCCAACCTTGGGGCAAAGTATTAGCTTATGTGCAGGCTATGCAGCAGCTCAATAAAGGAAAAACGTGAAGACTCGCACTGCTCTATGAAGCTGAGGATGGGGGGTGGTGGAGAGTCGGGGCACCTCTTATAAAGCTCAGGAAACAAGATGGTCTGTGGGTCCCTGTCCCAAGGACATTAACCTACTTAATACTTGTTCTCCCAGAGAGGAAGCCAAGTGTAAACTATCTAGCGGCTGTCCTAACTTGGGGACCTTCCTTACGGAAACAGACTGCTGGTCAAGGAGAGGGAGGGCAGGTGGCACATCAGACAGTATGGAAGTTGGCTAGAGCCAGGGGAGTGCTCCTATGTATGGAAAGGCTAGAGTTTAACAGGTTCCCAGGCCTATCTAGAAAGGCAGGCTGGGCCCTTGCTGATCCTGCAGAGCTGGAACACTGGCACAGGGGAGCGCAGGAACAAAGTCTGGGGCTTAGTGCCTTGCTTTCCCCAGGAAGACTGGGAAGACGGGAAGCCATGGCATAATCATATGGTCTTTTTATAACGAGAGATGATGTAAAGCAAGGTTTTTAATTTTGCTGGCATTTTTTTAGATTTAGCTTTTAAAATTTTGTTGTGTGCCTATATGCCACACATGTGTGGGTGCCCTGGGAGGCCAGAAGAGGATGTCAGATCCCTTGGAGCTGGAAGGCAGTTGTGAGCCACTGAGCGAGTGCTGGGAACTCAGGTCCTCTGCAAGAGCAGTATGTGCTGTTAACTAGAGCCAGCTCTCTAGCCCCTTTGTTTTTAAAGGGAAAAATATATATAATACCATGGTTACACACAGACTGTGGAGATTTCCTGAGTTCGCCATCCTAGACCTGCCTGCCACTTGCCAGCTGTTGCAATCTTGAACAATTACTTACTGAGCTCAGACTTATTTCTGAGATGATGGTAAACTCATACAGCTGTTTTGAATATGGATGTAAAACACATTTTAGCAGACAAATGTTAAATGTGAGCTGTTACTATTGTTAATATGACATACACACTAGGCAAGGACATTATAACACACTGAACCTCAACCCAGTCTTCCTGGGCTCCTCAATGATGACACAACAGTGCATTACTTAGGAGTTTCCAGTAGTTTCTCTTATCTGGCTCAACTTAAAGGCGAATCATAAGATGCATAAAACTTCTTCACAAGATTAAAATGAGGCTTAAATGAACACTTGTTTGAGGAATGACCAGAATATTCCATTCTTTCAGCTTCCTTTCTTCAAAGAATTAAGGTTTGGCTGGGTGGAGAACAGCAGCAAGCCTCAAACTCAATTCTGAATGTGTGTGGATGCACTACAAGCCTTGGTTTGCTGAGTGACAGAGGAGAAATTCTTGAGAAATCAGTAACAGAAAACAATGTGGGAGGCTGGTTCATCAGTAAGAGTCCTCCTTTCCCCTGTAGCAGACTGCCACGGAGGAGCTTGAGGAGGATGGAGGGAGTCCAGGGTGGAAGGTGGAGTGCTAATCTTTCAGGCGGGAGATGAGACAGCAGAGATCAACAGGGATAAAGGGGGGAAAGGAGAAAATAAAGGTAATGCCCTCCATATTGAAGAAAAAAAGTGATGGGAAGGGGAGAGGCAAGGAAAGAAAAAGCAAAGAGGTTACAGGTAAGAGGAGAGGAAAAAAAAAAAAAAAAAAACAACCAGCAAAAGATGACTTGTACTTGAAGGCTAAGTGGAAGAGAGGCGAGGCATGGATGTGAAAGGGTGAGACAGGAGACCCGGTTTCCATTTCACTGGCTCAGAACCAGTGGACCTTCTGGTGCTGCTTGGTTTTCTTGTTCTCGTTCTTCTATTTCTTACACCTAATCTTTTTGAAAAATATTTTATGTGTATAAGTGTATTGTCTGCATGTATGTTAAGTGCACCTGCATCATGCAATGCCCACAGAGGTCAGGAGGGCATCAGACCCCCTGGACCTGGAGTTACAGATCGTTGTTGGCTGCCATGTGGGTGCTGGGAATCAAACCCAGGTCCTCTACAAAAGCAGCCAGGGCTCTTAGCCACTGAGCCATCTCTCCAGCCCCTGTACACCTAATCTTTCATCCTTCTGAAGGGCTTGCAAGTTGTTTCACCTTGGGGTTCCCAAGCATCACTTTTCCTAACAGAGATACTCCAGTGTGTTTTCACTGTACCCAGGCTGTAAGTCTGTGGAGATGAGCAAAACTGAGGGGCAGAGGGTGAGCTATGTATGGTCTGAAAAAGGCTCTAGAATACACTGAGGCAACAGGCTGGTTATGTTTCCTAGGATCATTTGTGCCTCAAATTGGAGGACCCATCCTCATTGCCAATCACAGGCTCTGGGTGCTGAGCCTTGTTTTCCTTCAGCCTTTTCTGTTTGTTTTTTTTTGAGACATAGTCTCTCACGTAGCCCTACGCTGGCCTCAAACTCTCAACAGTCCTCCAGCCTGGGCCTCCCAGGTCCTGATAGGTGTGTGCCACCAGAGCTAGCTTGCTATGTGGTCTTAATTGTAGCACTAGGTTGGAGGATGTGATTTCTAATCCACCCTGTGCCATGAATGGATCATAAAATATCAAAGATGTAGCCCTAAGAGCATAGGGGCTCTTACCTATAATCCCAGCACTGCAGAGACTGAGGGCAGGATTGCATGCTAGAGGCCAGCCTGAGCTATAGATCCAGTCTCTATTAAGGGATCACCTAACTCAAATCCAATTTCCCAAGGTGTACAAAGAGATAAAATAACTTGCTCCATTAGAGTCACTCAGTGGTTTCCTCTTCTTTTGAGGCACAAAGAATAAATCCAAAGAGTGATTTCCATGTTTCCCTGTCCCTAAAGTGCTTAGAGGTTATAAGAAGGCACCCAGAAAGGTAAAGCTGGCATTTCTCTGGAAGCCTGAGAATACAAACTCTTAGGCGCCCCACTACGTGGCTGTAAGGGCACGCCTGGAGCTACGTTTGCTACGACCTTTAATTCCTAACAGTGCCTGCCAGGAGGCTGCAGGTGCTCTGAGTCCAACCTCTTCTGACTCCCCAGCTAGTTTTCCAAGACTGGAGCCAGGAAATGTTGGGTGATAAGGGAATCCTGTCCCAACGCTAGGGACAACAGCCAGGGAGCAACGGCCAGTTTCCTGGGGTCAAGCAAGGCAATTACGGCTCAGATAAAGCAGGAGGGCTGGGGAACCTGAGGTGGTAAAGGCAGATACGTGGGAAACAATCCAAATGACGTAACTGGGCTGGCCTACGTCACACATAAAGGCTCCTTAATCCGTAGGCTCCCCAGCCAAGGTTTCTAACCTTCCGCTGCCTAGGCCTGCGGAGCCTACTTTCTTCCAAAGCCTGCTCACTGCAAGGTCGCCGCCATCTTCGTTTTTCTTCTGCTCCCTCCAAGCGTCCTTCTCTGCAGCCCCCATTTCTTGGCTTCCCTCCATATACACCCAGCTGGTTTCCCACCCCAGTGTCTCGGAGCCTCGGGGATCTGTCCGCCCTCCTCCACCGGGGCTGCTCCCCACCCATACGCCCATCTTGTTTCTCCTGTTCCCCGCGTCACGCAGGCTTCCCCTCCAAGCCTGGGTGCCCTTGTTTCTTTTCTGCTGTGCCGGTAGGCGCCTCGTCTCAAATAAAATGGATCCAGCCCTGGGGCTCCGGAGATCCGCCACTGCCGGGGTGCTCGGGACCACGCAGAGCATAGTCGCGGCCGCCGTTGTTGTCCCAGAACTCGAGACCCGTTACCCGGTAGCGCAAGACGAAGAGCAGAGCGCCGCCGACTGGAGGCGCCGGCAGACGGAAGGCGAAGCGGTCGGCGTGCGGCGGGGGCGGGGCCGGGCCGGTGTAGGCGGCCGACGACTCCCGCTGGCTCCGCCAGCCGTCTGCGCTCCAGCGCACGCTCACGTGCTTCTCGTAGGCCAGGTCCAGCACGCGCGCGCTCCCGGCCACGCCCAGCGGGCCCGCCTCGGCGCGCTCCAGGCAAATGCGTTGCGCCTGCAGGCGAGCGGCGAACCCTGGCTCCCGCGCGGGCTCCAGGGCGGCGCGCGCCTCCTGGGGAGAGAGGGCGGGGTCAGGGCAGGCAGGAGCCAATCAGAGGTCACCAGGCGCCACCGCCCGAGAATGGCTAGCGGCTCCGGAAAGGGATGAGCAGACGGGAGCTGGGAAGATGGGCGTTCAGGGGCCTCCCGGGCCAGTCCGCTCCCACACGCCCGCCGCCGACGGGGAGGTCCCTGGGCGAGGCCGGGGGGCCGCCTACCTGGAGGTTGCGGGCGCGCGGCTGGCACGGCGCGAAGTGGCGGAGGGCGTCCCTCTGCAGCTGCACCTGCACGTGGCGGGGCACCCGGGGCAGCTCTCCTGGGCGGAAGCGGCGCACGACGGCCAGCTCCAGCCCCAGCGCGTCGGCGAAACGCACTCTCTTGCGGGTGTCAGGGCTGCGGCTGCGGGGTGCGGGGACCTCACCGCCCCCCGCGGGTGCCGAGCGGGCCCTGCGACCCCGACTTGGATCGTGGGCGCGGGATCGGGCCCGGAGCCGCTTGCGGCCCTCTGCTGGCTCCTCCTCCGACTCTTCCTCGAGGCTGGGCCGCTGGCTGCGGTAGTAGGTGCGCTCCGTTAGGGCCGCTATAAAGCTCAGGTTGCGGGGGATGTCGGTGCGGGGAGGCCGCTCGCGGGACATGACACCCTGCGGGCCGGTCCGCAGCGCCGCGTCTCCTCTCCCGGCCGCGGCGCGCAGTGACGACGCAGTGGACCCCCCGCCTGGACTCTGCTGCGGCCCCCTCCGGGTCCCCCACCCCGCGTCCTCCGCCTCGTGCGTCCTCGTTCACCCTTCCCTCCCTCTGGCGGTCAGCGCGCAGTGCATTAAACTATCGCATCTCGCCTGCTCTGAGCCTGCGCTCCACCGCGCTCACCCTTCGGGTCTGCGGGGCCGCGGACCTGCCCCCGCCCTCAGCTCTGACAGGTGGACTGGGATCTATCTCTGCGGCTGCACCAGGGGGCGGGGTCTGCACCCTTGCCGTCTCAAAGTCACCATCCTTTTTTTTCTCTTAACTCTTCTGACGCTCCGGCACCAGAAGGGTTAAGGCAGGGAGAAAGAATAACCTTTCATTTTCTTGCACAGGAAAGTTAAAACTTCCCAGAGTGGAACTGTCTTCCGGGCTCAGCGTTTTCTTACACCGAGGCTACAGGTTTGGGAGGGGGCTGGTGATGGGTGCGAAAAGGGAAAAGCAGAGACTGCTAGGTGGACTCTTTCAAATAGAAGAGGGAAGGATGGGCGCTGAACTGCAGGGTGAGACGCGTCTGGAACTGAGGAGCGGGAAGACCAGTGCTTCCAGTTCTGTGCCTGCTGCTGGCTATTAGCTGTGTAACTTCTCTGAACCTTGGATTGCTCACCTGTTTTTTTTTTCAATATATATTTTATTGAATTTTTGTGCATTTTATACAATATATCTTAATCGCCGAGCATGGTGGCGCATGCCTTTAATCCCAGCACTCGGGAGGCAGAGGCAGGCGGATCTCTGAGTTCAAGGCCAGCCTGGTCTACAAAGCGAGTTCCAGGCCAGCTAGGGCTACAGAGAGACCCTGTCTCAAAAACAAAAGAAAACAGAAATATATCTTAATCATATTTAGACCCCCTCCCTCACCTTTTTTTAAAATTGGAGTTTGGTTCTCTAACTGTAAAATCTTTGTGAGAACAGAGACTGATTCTTGGTCACTTTTTGTACGTGTAGGTCTTCAAATTATTGAAAGTTCACATGACTCCTGGAGCTGAGACTGTGGTTTTAGTTCTAATGGAAGATTTCAACAAGGGCATATGACAGGGGCAAGAGGGGTGACTCAGTGGTTAAGGGCACTGCTCTTCCACAGGACTGGAGTTCAGGTCTTAGTACCTACCTGGTGGCTAATAGCTGTAATTCCAGTGCCAGTTCTGGGGATCTAACACCCACTTCTGGCCTCCGACCATTGCACAAAGACTTCCGTGCAGTCAGAACACATAACACAAAATAAAAATTTTAAAAAAGGAAGGACATATGACAGGCTATTTTGCATTTCATGGTTGTATATATGAGTGAAAAAATATGCAAAGTGAACTTCTCTACTGACCTTTATAATACACTAGGCATTATTGTAATATTTGTTGTTTTTTTTTTTTTGGTCTTTTTGTGACAGGGTCTCCCTGTAGCCTCAGCTGGCCTGGAACTCACTATGTAGACCAGGCTGGCCTTGAACTCAGAGATCCATGCCTGCCTCTGCCTCCTGAATACTGGGATTAGAGGCATGTACCATGCCCAGCTGTTGTAATATTTGTAAATATTACAGTTGAGGAAATTGAGGGAGAGAGGGCCCTTGCCCAGGGTCACATAGTTACTAATTGTAGAGCTGACATTATGACCTTAGCAATTCAACTCTGGAGTCTATTCTTATACGTTTAGTTATACAATTAAAACATTTATAGTATCCTCCTTAAATAAAATGTTAACAACATTAAAATGGAAAATACTACAGTTAATATGAAATCTGTTGTGCTGGGGGTTTGAACGCAGGGCCTGGTGCATGCTAGACAAGCACTTTAGAACTGAGCTGTCTCTCTGGTCATATGAAGTCTTTAAATTTAAACAGCTGAAGAGATGGCTCTGTGGTTAGAGCACTGGCTGCTCTTACAGAAGACTTGGGTTCGAATCCCAGTACCCCCATGGCAGCTAACAACTGTCCATAAATCCAGTTCCAGGGGATCCGATGCCCTCTTCTGACCTCCCACGGGCATTGCATGGCAGAGGTGCACTTACACAAACACAGGCAATACAGTCATAAAATAAAAATAAAAACCTTTTTAAAAATTTAAACAGGAATTGGGGCTGGAGAGATAGCTCATGGTTTAGACCATTGCCTGCTCTTGCAGAGGCCCCACATTTGATTCCCAACACCCACATGGCTGCTAACAGCCCTCCGTAACTCCAGTTCTGGGGAAATTCAGTGTCCTTTTCTGACCTTGGACATTGCATGACATAGGTGCACTTATACATGTAAAACAAAAATAATAAATAAAAATTATAAAGAAAAAAAAAGGCTGACCATGGTGATGCATGCCTTTAATCCCAGCACTCGGGAGGCAGAGACAGGCAAATTTCTGTGAGTTCCAGGCCAGCTGGGGCTACAGGAAGATCCTGTCTCAAAAAGACCCAATAATAATAACAATATAATAATTAAAAAAGTAAACAGGAGGGTTTAACCAAGAAAGCCACAAGTGGCTCAGTTGGAAATAGATATGTGCTCCCTTATTACATTATTGTACATTTCACCCTGTTTATTCCACAGCAGTATTAACCATAGCGATACTCTAGCCAGGACTCACTTTTAAAGTCCTACTGGAATTCTCACTAACAGAATAGCTGAAATAACCCTTGATCCTCCTAAATGCAGTGCTGGGCCTAAAGGAGATAACATTTATGAATGGAGATCAACTATAGTCGAGTCTGTATATGAAGGTCTTTCTTTTTTCTGGATATCCATTTAAGGCACCAACGGTCATTTTCTGCACCAGGCACCAGATTCTGTCACCACTATGTTAACAGTCAGGGCATCATCTGCCTGGACATTCTAAAACAGTCTTGTTTCCAAGGTTTTGCTCTCTAGTTCCCTTTTGACAGACTGAAATCCTGCAGATCCTCTGGTTGGTAGCATAGCCACTCAGTATTTGACCAACAGAGCAGAACATGGCAGGATAGCCAGAGAGTGGACCAAGAGATCCACAACATAATCCCATGATTTGTATGCAGTCTGAAGGAGCAGAAGGCCTCCTCATTGTGCTGCAGACCTTTGTAGCCTGTACAGTACAGACTTCTGTGTATGTGCTATGCCGATTCTACTCTCTGCTTTTATCTTTTGGAGACTGGGAAACTCCCCCAAAGGGTAAATGCTATCAGGAGTGGAACGTTGGGGACTGGAGAGATGGCTCAGTGCTTAAGAGTACTGACTGCTCTTGCAGGGGACCCAGGTTCGATTCCCAGCACCCACATGGTGGCTACGAACCGTCTGTAAGTCCAGTTCCAGGAGAATCCGATGCCCTCTTCTGATCTCCATGGCATTGGAGGACACAGGTGCTCTCACATGCAGGCAATACACTCATACATATAAAACAAAAATAATAAATAAGGACTGGAGAGATGGCTCAGTGGTTAAGAACACTGTTCTTGCAGAAGACCTGGGTTTGAATCCCAGCACCCATATGGCAGCTAACAACTGTCCATAACTCCAGTTTCAGGGGATCTGACAGCCTCTTCTGTCCTCTGCAGGCATTGCACGACACAGGTGCACTTACTTACATGTAGGCATAACACTCAGACACATAAAAAAAAATAAAAATACTAAAAACATTTTTTAAAAAATGGTGGGACCTTGTAGCTGTAGATTAGTTATGTTTAAAATGCCTACTTGCAAATTTTGCTTCTTTGAGATATCAAAATGTATTTTGTGATGTACTAAGGATACTGGTCCTGGTATTATAGTGCATTTTAGCCTAATTCATTATTCCAAGTCATCTAAACAGTTACTTTTGCAACTTCATACAGATAATGAATTCCCAAAGTAATTGTATGAAGTTCTAAAAGTGCTGTAGATGACTTGGAATTATGTCCTTTGTACTAAGCCCAGATCTGTTTCTGAGTATGTGGTTCATATTGTTGTGAAAAATGTTTTACCTTTACCTTTGTCAATTTGTAGTGAATTTCCTTTTACTCTTTGTAGCCCAGAGAGCACTGGTGTATCATCTCAGACACAATAAACATGCACTTGAAGGCATAAAAAAAGTCATTGGATTTCATTTTATTTCACACATCATAAGATTCATATACATACTTTATGTCTGGGGTGTACAATAACTGTACACTAATTAGGCATCTTAAAGAGAACCTTTTAAAATATTTTATTTTTTTATGTGTATCAATGTATTGACTGCATGTATGTAAGTGCACTATGTGTGTGCAATGCCTGAAGAGGTCAGAAGAAGATGATGGATCCCCTGGAACTGGAGTTATGGACAGTTGTTAGCTGCCATGTGGATGCTGGGAACCAAGCCTCAGTTCCCCTCAAGAGCAGCCAGTGCTCTTAACTGCTGAGCCATTGCTCCAGCCCCAAAGGGATCCTTTTTGCTCTGGTAAAATAGCATACTACTGAAGTAAAATACAGGGGGTTCCAGGCCAGCCTTATGGCCTGGGATTTTTTCCCAGACTCTTGCTTTGTCTATGGGTTGAGCTGCCATGTCTTGGCTCTATAGTGTGGGGCTGAGATCCTTGCAGTACAGAACTTTGGACTAGGTATAAGTTGTATTAACCAACAGCACTTCTGATCCCTCACACTCACATTGAACCTTTATTCCAAATCAGTCTTTTTTTTAAAATAAATTA